AACAAACTTTCAAAATGACCCTGTACCTACCTACATATAATAAGAAGTCATAATTTTATTTTCCATTAATAAAAACTTATCGCGCCCGACTTTGCTTACTTTTTTTACTCTTTATAATAATAAATCTGCCCCAATACCAATGAACATAATAATTATCAACATCTTGTATAGCAATAGCCGGGATCCACGGTGGTTGTTGATGACGTCCTTTAAAACGCGCCATAACTGGGATTCGTATGAATACCGGTGCCGGGAGGCTAGACACAGAGTTTCTAATATAGGGCTCGTGCGATAAAATGTCGTCTTATGAAACTTGTATTTTAATGTACTTTATTAAAACCAAAAATTAAAATAAAGCAAATATTTTTCTATGTCTGACAGCCACTTCTACTTTTTCCAAATCAATTTATTTCACATCCGCTCGTTCAAATTTCATTACTACGGACCAGGAAATATCCATACTAAAAACAAGTCAACAGCTTCATGAACAACAAGTTTCTTTTCAAAACTATTTTCGAATTCCTAGCCAACATAAACAATTATTTTTTTTCCTTTTTTTAAATTCCTTGCAATAGTTATGTGTGTACCAAGGCCGTAAAGTTGATCTTTTTTGGCCGAATCAGAAATTTGCGGCCGAGGCGCAGCCGAGGCCAAGCAAATTTCAGGTGAGGCCAAAAAAGATCATTCAACAGTAGCTTTAAACTTTATTGATCAGATAAATAATCCAGCAAAGATAGGTAGATACACAATTATTAATAACAGAAACTACGATAAAGAGAGTGTGAATATAGAAAAATGCCGACTTTTTCGCCTGGTATCTTACATTGAGCTTTTTTAAAAAAGCAATCAATTTTGAAAACTTTCTGATATGTTAGGTATTTCCGACTATAATTGTAAATTTTAAACTAGATACATATGTGGACCTGAAGACCATAACGTTGAGGATTATTTAATTTTGGAATTTTCCGAAAAAAATGCAAGAAAATAATTCTCCCAAATTTTTAATCATGCCGTTTTTTTTTAGCATTTTATGTGGAAATTTGGATAGAGGTAAAATTAAAAACTTGGTTTCATTATGGTTGCTAACTAATTGTTTATTGGATGTGTTGATGGTTACGGCACTGCGTTTCCGATTGTTTGTTTATTTTCACCAAAGTAGCGCAGCGGCCGTAAAGTAAAAGCGGCCGTGAAGTAAAAGCGGCCGTAAAGTAATAAAGCAAATGCGGCCGTGAAGTAAATGCGGCCGTAAAGTAAATGCGGCCAAAAAAGATATACTTTAGGAATGATATTGAATCCTTAAAACTAATCTTTTTGTGACAGTCGCCTAAAAAATTAATTTAAAATGTAATTTTACTCGAAGGCAATAGACCGATCTCTACCTAGCCTGCGCGCATCGCTTGTAGGCTGCAGGTGAGCGTCCAATGAGAAGCAAGTTTGTTACAGGCTCGCGTCATATTCTTATTCAGGGGCCAGTTCAGAATGAATCGTTCCTTCTTTCTTTGTAACGTGTAATTCGACAAAGAGCAAACTAATACTTTACATATTACTTGAACTCACCGCAGTATCGTTTAAGGTTATGTTAGATTATACTTGACATATTCCTTTGCAATTTCCTTGTGCGATGTTGCCGGATGAAACATTTATCAAAATAAAAGTGCAAACGATGTTAACATACATTTTTCAAGCGCTTCTTTTGTCTGATTTAAGGCGTTGTAAAACACTTGACACTATATCACTTCTTTAATGTTATAATAATAATGTACTTACATTTAACTTTTCACTCGTAAATTTACTAAATTAATTTACTTCAAGAATCTCTAGAGCTCGCACGTAATGTTCAACGACTTTAAATGTTCTTTCTTTCACAATTTTCCGTACTTCTTCAAAGATTCGATCAAACGCCTTTTCCCGAGGCAAGAAAATAAAATAAACTCTTCGCGAATTTTAGCCCGACTGACTCATTAGGTACTGTAGACTTTAACTCAAACTGGACTAAACTGCCAACTGGACTGAACTAACAACTCAACTGCTCCTCCACTTCTAAAACCGCTGTATTTAAATGTTTCGTTCCCTCAAAAATTCCAATTTTCATCATTCAATAACCTTTCTCTTTTATTTGATTAAAATCGAATAATTATGTCGCAATTTCTTGGTTTATCGGAGTTAACAGATTTGGTTGTAAGAATTGGACATATAACTCAAAGAAAACCGACAACACGTGCGGCCATAAATCACCTATTTAATTACTTTGGCCTCGCTTTTAATATTTATATGAATTTGATTTTGGTGATGACACACTTGGTGACTAAATAATAAAATTTTGAACATATTTTAGATTTTTTAATTAATTTGGGGTCAACGTTATTTTGTTTCATTTTCAATTTATCGATACTGATTTGAAATACCGGAATTTCAGTTTTTGATTATTTGATTGCATTTAATTTTTACAGTAAACACATTGTAAATTACGGGTCTATTTTCCCGGGTCATTACATTATCATAGGATCCTCCTGGATCTGGGTCAGTCTTGCACTGGGTATGTAAATGTTGCCTGATTTTCTTGTCTGGAACCTGTTAACGTCCACGCGTCCCCATATGTGATGTAACTGTGTCGGTTTTCAAAGACTTCATGCACTCTGTAAAATGTACACGTTTGTGACCGTAAGTACACTTTCGGCCTTAAAAGTTTGGCGACGACTCTCGAAACGGCAGTCCAAACATTTTCCTGATTAATCTTTTTTGCGAAAACAGGACCCTGGCAATATCCGTGGAGTTACCCCACACAAGAAGACCGTACGACAGAATAGAGTTTGTTGCAGCGTTATAAATTTTTTTTAGATTATTGTGATCCACATGGTCTCTAGTCTCTAAGCTGTAATATGGCAAAGTTGTTGACAATCTTTTGCAAATGGCGTCAACTTGATCATGCCAAGACAGATGGTGGTCCAATGAAATTCCAAGGAATTTACCAGAGTCCCGCTGAACAAAACTATTGGATCCATCCCTGATAAGCAGACCTCTGCCTTAGGGGACTCTCATGGGTGCAAATAGCACACATTTCATTTTGGTGACATTCAGACAGAACCCGTTTGCCCTGCACCAATGGAATGCGCCGAATGCGGACACACTCATTTGCACTCCGACATAGCCCTTCATATCCTACATCTTCGACAACTGAAGAAGTGTCATCTGCGAACAGCGTAACAAAACAGTCATTCGCATTAATGAATAATAGGTCTATTTCTGCAGAAATCACAAACCAGTCAGAGCGAATTTCATTCGAACAGTCAGAGAACTAGTTTCAACACTAGTCTGTGATTTCTGCAGAAACAGACCTAATAGCAACAAGATAGGCCACATATAATCTTATAACATTTGTCCAGTCTGAGAATGTCGAATTTCCCCCATTTAATAATTTACAAGTGAGATATTTCTTTCAAGAGTTTGTTGTGGTCTATAGTGGATAGAAGGACAATATGGCATCGGTTGTTGAGCGATCAACCCTAAATCGGAACTGGCGACATGTTAGGATGTTGAACTTATCCAAAAAACTCATCAGTCTTCCGCGAAATGCCTTTTCGAAAATCTTCGCGAACACCGCGACAGGAGGGCAATCGGCCTATAGTTTTCCACACTAATGATTTGTCCTCTTTTTTATGGATAGGGACAACGACCGCGCTTTTTAGGTCCTTTGGGATGTACCCGTGTTCAAAAGATATATTTATCAAATATGTTAATGGATTCACAATATTTTGGGCACACTTTTCAATCAGATTGCAAGGTTATTTCATCAATACCACTTGACTTTTTACTGCTGACTAATTTCAGAATTTTAAGAACCTCTAAGTCACTCTAGTGGTGTAAGGAATATCGTTGGAACTCAAGCCTGTTTCAGTGCTGGCGATGAGCTCTTCTACAGACTCCACAAAAAAATCATTGAACGTATTTGCTATGCCTATCGGATCAGTAGCTGCATACCATAATGTTTCCAGGTAGGGGCCTTTTAATGTTCTTTGGGTTATTTGTATGAGAGTTGATGATCTCTCAAGCCGTCCTAGTGATGTTGTCCGATTTTAATATCCTGTTGGAGTTATAGAACTTTTTTACCCCAGCAATATTCATTTTATGTTTTAAAATCATTCCTGTAGCGCATTTGGATCCTATGGCTGCCTGATCTTTTCACTTGGTACATGAAGTTTTCTCAGATCTGAACCCTCTTTTATTAACTCTGGGGTTATCCAGGAATTTTGAATAGTTCATTAAAAGTTGAGAAAAAGTAAGTAAACTTGTCCTATAAGTGGATAGAGGTCTATAAGCCATTTTTCTTTCGATAATAAATAATTGAAGAAGTTAATGTTTTTTTGCGAAAAGCATCGATATTTGCGCTTTAGGTTATTACACTCGCTTTTGCCCGAATTAAAATGCAGCTCGTGTGCTTGAAGTGGGAATTTTGGAAACCACTGGAAATATGGGTTTGAATCAAATGGGGGAAAAGTTGCGCAATCAAGTGCCTACAAATAATCTGTCATCGACTTCTTTGAACTCGGAATAGCAACGGATATACAGGGAAAAAAACAAAAAAGTGCGTGTTTTATAGAATCCTTGTATTGAATATTAAATAAATATACATTACATCTTAGTCCTACCTGGAAATTTCCTGATTGTATCTTCTATAATAAACAAGATATAAAGGATTTTATAAAACGCACTTTTTTCTTTTTTGCCCTGTATATCTGTTGCTGTTCCGAGTTCAAAGAAGTTGGTGACAGATTATTTGGGGACAGTTGATTATGTAACTGCTTTTCCACTTGATACATCCTGTATTTTCAATGGTTTACAAAATATTCTTTGAAAATACCCATGTAATTCAAGTTATTCCGGAGACCCTGGATATATCGACTTGGTTCCCTGTGGGACAAATTTTCGATATAGACCCGAAGAAGGAGAAAAAAAGCTCTGAAAGCTAGGTTCTGTGAAAGAGTAAAAATAAAACCTCATCTTTAAAAATCTTGATTCGTTTTTCTTCCACATTTCTTTCATATTGAAATATCGGGAGTTTTCAGCGATTTCACTAAAACTACAATTTTTATCTGAATATCTAATATAATAATAATTACATATATCTAATATTACCTAATTATTATCACATTCATAAATTCAATACCTACATATAGTTCTAAAATACCGTTCTATATACACAAAACATACAATTAACACGTTAACTTAAAACCTAGAATAAAATTTAAAAAATAAATTAATTGTTTCAAAATATAATAAATAATTCAATAGAAAATTAACTTAATAATTTAAATAAATAAATATCTATAATAGACAACGAAAAATAAAACATCTAAGTACATAATACCTATTCTTACCTATCTACCAAAAAATTAACATATTCAGAAATTTTGAAGTAGGTACCTATAGCTTCCACAAGACCATGGAAACTTTCTGTGAAAACTTCAAATATGACACAGAATTGGTAAAACTAGAATACAAGAAAGAGCTATCATATGTTATAGTATATTTGTACTTTCAATAATAAAAAAAATCTCTCATTGGTCAGGTCAAGGCAATGGCCATGGTAAACCAGAAAAATCAACCGGCCCGCCCAGTCCAGCGTCAGCTTCAAGAAGGCTCATAATAACAGCCATCGCTGCCTCGTCGTTACCGTCCATGGTCGGTCCGCCATTGCCTTGAGCTGGAGATTGTTGGGCCTCAGCTGAAGATATCATGTCGATGATTTCCGAGGGAGACTCTGTTTGAGTTTGACCACCTAAAACTATTCATTCAGTTTATGTAGGAACTACCAGTGTTGCCACAGGCTTTGAAAATTTCGTGCCAGACTATGAATTTAAAAGGGGCCAGATTTGAGATTTTTGGGCAAACCCTCCACAAATGAAAAAGAAGAGAGAAAGCCTGCCGGAGGTAGAAAATTTGTTCGGGTGCCACGCCCAAAAACGCTTATTTTGCATAAAAAAATAATGATTTGGCTTGTTATGGAGAAACGGGCCAGATTCGGAAAAGAGTGGCCAATGGGCCACTCCGTCTTAGAAAGGGCCAGATCTGGCCATATGGGGCCACCTGTGGCAACACTGGGAACTACAAATCTAAATTATTTATACCTGGATCTGATGTTACGCTGTTTAAATTTACGTTACTTCTCACGCCTGAGTATTGGTTGGAGTTTTGGACGTAATCTGGTACAGTGGGACTTGGTCGGTATGTTTCGGTTATTTGGCTTGTGGAAATTTGAGCCTGAAAACGCATTAATTAATACAGGTTATGATGTTAAAAAATTCTTACTTCTCCGTTAACCAAATTTGGTAAGGTGGATTCTGGATCGGGACTGTTTGAACAAGAATCCGCGTTTCTTCGTTGCGAATCCATCACTTGCTCGGCTATCTGACGTCCGATTTTGCCCGCTTCCACGTGAGAATTTATCATTGTTTGGATGTCTTTGCCGTTTGCTTAAAATAGTTGCGTTTTCGAGCAATATGTTATTACTGTATAACATAGGTACTTACGACTGGAGAAAAAGTCGTAATTTTCTTGGATGTCTTCTGCACGACTGGCGCTGCTTTCTACCATTCGAAAGTCACTTCTGGAATTTGAAAATAATTAGGAGATAGTATTTTATTGTTTCGGGCATTAGGTGACTGTGTAAGTTGGAAGATAATTGACTTGGAAGATAGGCCTATTTTTGAGTTTCCAATCGCATTGGAAAGGAAAGCTTTCAACATCTGTATTGTGCTTACTTACAGTGCATACATTTTACCCATGACCAAAACATCGTTATGAAACTTACAATATATATTACACTTGGATGACTTGGAGTTATAAAGTGGGAAATGAAAATAATGATTCGAGCAGTTGTGGATGATTTCCTGGAATGTTTGACAAAGGCATATCGGGGAAAATATCTACAAACTGAAAAAGAATAATTTGAAAATCACTCACAATACTAAATTATTCTTCGATATAACGTATTCTACTTCTTTAGTCCATGGATTTTTGAACGACTTCCATTCACTTTGAAGCCGAATGAAGCTTCCATCTTTAGTACGAAACCTGCAAATAATACATTTCATCTAACCCAAAAATACTTCCTGCTAACAATTTTGTACCTATAGACATTTGTAGCTACATATTCATTACTTTGCAAAGCCACCTTGTGCTTATCCGCCAAAGTGGGAATATCATCATTATGGTAGTACTCGTACATGCTGGTGCCGAGCATTTCTTGCGGCAAAAACCCTAGCACCAACGTTGCCCTAGAATTGAATTAGTAACAAATCGCAAATCAACTTTTATCCATTCACCTTTGATCCACAAAAATAAATTTGCCGTCCAGAGCGTGCCTGGATACAAACTGTATAGGCCTCACTTTATTATTACCATGGCTGCTTAGTGCCAAAGTAGATATATGAGGCAAAATCCTGCCGATGGCAACCAAACAGGACAAATTACAAGAATCCGAATCCGCTTCTTCGTGTTCTTCCAGGCCTATTTTGGCAGGTGCCCAGGACTTTAAGTATCCAGTGCATTGAATTACATTGAATTTTTTGTCTAAAAGAAAAACCACTGTGTCTCAAAACAAAAGCATTTTGCCTGCTTTAAAAACAAACCCGAATTTAGTTTAGTCTTTCTTCTGTGACATCCTGTGGTGGTGTCAGCTTCTTCTTTGATTTGCGAAGCCATGCGGCACTTCATTCTGCAAAAAAACGATCTTCTTGCACCAGGACATAATCTTGATGCACCTTGAGGGACGTCTGTTTTTACTGGTAACATAGCTAAATAGCAACAAATATAAATAACTATGAAAAGAGAACAACAGGACATACTTTTGGCATCAATCAGTCTTTCTCTGGGATTTAAATCGGAAGAGGAAAGTTGCTCTTTAACTTTGGCCACATCCTTGGGATGTAAAATGTCGAATAGACTTTGACCTAGAAGATCTGCCTAAGAAGCAACAAATTTAGGTAATCATCATTTTTGATTTAATTGTTATTACTCACTTGTGTGTAATTCAAAACTTTAGAAACTGATTGAGATACGTAGAGGATTCGCCCTCTGTCGCAACCGACTACAAATAAAAATCCATCTGCGGCCTAAAACAAAGCTTTAATTAAGTCTATTATTGCTAAGATTTGATCTCTGGTATTTAGAAAAAAAGTGTAATACACGACTATGTCACACCCATGACACATTTTTTCCTTTGATTTGCACTATTAACTGTTTTAATTTATACTTAATTCCTAGCCCTGCCTCTGTTATCCTTATAGTTGATAAATTAAAACGCCAACAACAACAATTATTTATATACCTGTAAAATTAAATGTTTCAATTCTTGATCGGTCAAAAATGAAGGTTTGTAATGACCTTCGGTGTAGGAATGGACGGCACCTCTTATGGTTTTCAAATGCTGCACGGCCATTCTGAGCACGGTGAGTTTGTCCAGTTTCCTGGACATCGCGTGGCACATCGGGATCATCGCCGACAGTTCGGTGATGTAAGTGTTCATTTTGTCACGGCGACGTTTTTCGATTTCGCTGTGATTTTGTCTATGAAAAATAAAAAACTTGTAGCGTCGTAATAAAAATGGGTGTAGTAGGTGTGAGAGGAAAAAATGCTACAAATCTACATTACGTGACATTTTCTTACATGTTTGTAACGGTACTTCTTGTTTCATAGTTTGTTTATATTTAATTGTATAGGGTGAATATATTATGAAATTGAATCATAATTTATATATTATAACTGTAATCTTTAAGGAAAAGAAATGTTGCAAATGTTTAATTATTATAAGAGGTTTGCTTCATAAAAGAAAAAGAAACCTTGTCGAGAATTTTTTCATCTCCTATTCTTCTGATAGTTTTCAGAATAAAAATTTGTTATGTGGTTTTTTTATTTGATGCTGAAATCATCAATGGTATCATCAAGGTTGACAAAAATCACCCAAGACCCATAACATTTCTCAAAAACATTGGAGAGCTTATTGAAATCCCATGCTCATGGAAAAAGATCCATATATCTCTGGGAAAAGAGTACGAAGAGCATTGACAATAGAGACACACAATGTTTCAGACAAATTGGAAGAATTCAAGTAGTCGTTGATCTTGAGACGTACCCATACTTTTCGAACCATATGCTGATGTTGTCAGGGATTTCTGAGCAAGTGATTTTTTTCTGAGCTACAATCAGATAACCACGTTGGATGATGTGATGGCATCAAAAGTCACTCATTTGAAATGAATACCGAAAGAGCACAGATAGAAGTCAGAATTAAATATAATGGACAGGCTGACCACTGATGAAATGGGTCGACGACCTTAAAATAACTCAAAGATGACACAAGGGAAAACTTCAAAAGAAGAAGAAGGAGGGCTCGTAGTGGAGATTATTTTAAATTATATTATCGTCATCTTATACATTTCTTAATTTTCTAAAAATATTTATCAATTATTCACTCTGTAAGTAAATGTAACAGTTTATATAGTCGGTGGCTGTTGTTACCCTTGAACTTGAGTTTATTGCATTTTTCATTGCATTGGCTTCAGGCGTAATAACTGAATTACCGTATTATACCGGTGGTAGCGATTACGTCATTTCTTCTTCTATATTTGTATAACGCAGTGTTTATGATTTTTCTACTATATACGAGGGAGGAAATAATTCGATTTTTAAAGTCACAGATATCAAGGATAATTCATCGGGAAATTACTTTTAACGATTTGAACAAAAACCTGGAAGAATGGATTATTGTTCGTAACACCCAAGTCAATTTTGTCTAAGAAGGATGAAATGTAGGTACTTTTGGAGAGCCTAGGAAACTGTAAATAAAATCAGGGATAAGGAAATTTGGGTTGCAGTGCATACAAAAAACCCAAAGTGGACGACATCCATCAAAAACTGTTAGCTTAGTAAGAGGGTTATCAACGCCAAAATGTCCTAAAACCGTACCCATTTTGAAAAAAAATGGACATAATGTTGATAGAGATGTATTTTATCATGCACCTGCTTCTAAGCCTCTAAAATATTCCCTCAAAATTTCATATTGGTGCTTCAAATAGTTTTTGAGTGAATAATTAAAATGTGAAAGCATGTAATAAAAACAGATTTCCCAGAAAGTTTCAAGTTTGAAGGCTGATAACCCAAAAACGGGACAACTATCGACAACTAGTTTGTGTCCTAGTGGTCCTTTGGGATCCCCCAAACTCCATACACGAAATTATTCTGAGATTTGGAGCCGGAATCTATGAAAAAAAGCACAGAAAAATTGATAATTTACCCCAAATTGCTTAACACGATTTTATTTCTGGAACTATAAGTCCAAATGTGCTGAAATTTTCAGGGATTGTAGTCCTCTATACTGGAATAAGAATCACTGAAAATTTTAGCTTTCTATCTTTAATAGAAAAAAAGTTATGACATTTCAAAGTTTTCCAAAATCTAAATCATAAGGTAGCTACCTCAGTCAGTAAGTACCTACTAAAACGATGAAATTTCAATTTTTTTTTTTGGTGAGATTTTGTGTCTTAATGGTTCTTTGGGATCCCCCAAACTCCATACACTAAATTATTCTGTGATTTGAAGCCGGAATGTATGAAAAAAGGCACTCAGAAAAATTGAAAAATTGATAAATCACCCCAAATTGCTTAACACGATTTTATTTCTGGAACTATAAGGCCAAATGAGCTGTAACTTTCAGGGAATGTAGTCCTCTCTACTACTAATAAGAATCGGTGAAGTTTCACCTTTCTATCTATAATAGAAAAAAAGTTATGACCTTTCAAAGTTTTCCAAAATCTAATATGTGACATGGGTGATTTGTAGCTTTGAGGGTTGATGGAGAGAAACTCGCTCAAGTTATATAAAAGTGCATGACCCTTCGAACACTGGGGTCCTTATAGGGAGCCACACGTCAACGCTGCTTGAGGGACTGTAGATTAGTTATCGTCACCCTTATGCTTTGTCCAGAGGGGCTTTCCCAACGAGAGGAAATTGCACTGGAAAACGATAAGGCTGAAGGTACCCAGAGGGGCTTTCCCAACGAGAGGTACTTGCACTGGGGAGACTTAATTCCAGAGGGGCTTTTCCAACGAGAGGTACTTGCACTGGTTTAAGTAGTACTCAGTACTGAAACGATGAAATTTCAAATTTTTTTTTGTTGAGATTTCATGTCTTAATGGTTCTTTGGACCCCCAAAATCCATACACTAAATTATTCTGTGATTTGGAGCCGGATTCTATGAAAATAACTAACTCCAAAGTGAACAAAATCCCCCAAAAACTATTTAAACTGCAATTTTGTGAAGGTGAAAGTGATTCTGAATACCTACTATCCCTTAATTACAATTTTCTATATAAACCTCGTAAAGTGCTCATTCACTTTTCATAATAAAACGTATCAGTAGAGTCAGCAACGGTTTCCCTTTCTTTCTGCGCTTTTCTTTTCACCTTGTAGAATTAACTGTTCTTGTGCGTGGGTCATTCTACAGATTCAATAGAAGTTCACAAAGTTATTCTAAAGATGCAAAAATGAATGGGAAAACAACATTGAACAGGAAAACTCTCTTAAGATCATATGGAAGAAAAGTTTCGAACTGTAATGGTGCGAATAAACTTTTGATAATTGATAATAGTTATTTACATTACAAGTGTGTTTATGAATATGATTACAATAACGAGTGTGAAAGATTAGAACGACGAGGTCGTAGACCGAGTCGTTCTAATCACTCGAGTATTGTAGTCATGTTTAAACGCACGTGTGATGTACAACGTTTTATCTATAAAGCTAAAAAAAGGAATGTTTTTTCAATCATTTTCGTTTATATGTTGTTGTCTACCTTCATCTTACCTTTACAGGTTTAACTTTGACATTTGTCAAATCACCAAAAATAGTGGTGTTATGAATTCATAACCTAGTCCATAACACCACTAGTTGTGTTATGAATTCATAACCTAGTCTATAACACCACTAGTTGTGTTATGAGTCTCATAACATAACTCAAATACTAGAAAAATGGTTATGTAAAAACGTCATAACCAAACGCTTGTAGATAAACATAATAAATAAACAAAACAAAAAAATTAATGTTTCAGGTGAAAAATCTCGAAGCAAGACAAGACCAAAAATGTATGTAGAATTACTCCATATAGTTTTACTGACAAGCAACAGTTATTTTTTGCTAATAAATAATAAATTTTTCAACCAGAAGGTTAAAAGACTATAACCGGGTGAAAGAATGCGCTATACCGTTATATTTTCTAAGGTTAAGTTATTTAATATCCAATTAAATTTCATAATTTATTTACATTGGCAAATAAGAGGGTTTTGTTACAAAACATACTTACTTCTTATTCTCATCAGTTTTCGTTGACTTTGCATCTTCTCCAGTATCATCATCAACGTCACTAGCATCACTAAAAAACAAATCATATAAATGCATATGAATTCAAAATAAACCAAGGAAACACATATTCCTTAACTTAACCCATTACCGAGAATCTTTTGAACTTGTCCCTTTTGGGACTTCCCATCTGAGAATTCTGAGTTAATTACTTGACATTTTGTAATTAACGCTTAATAATTGGCTATATATGGACACATCAAAAGAACAAAAGCATGCATTTTTGAATCAAACAATTGTAAGTTGTTTCTTACATAACAATTTCCCTAAGAGAATCCTTACAATCATATACTTCAAAGCGCCATAACTTTAATTAACTTTTGATTGTTTCAACTCCTATATAAGTTATCCTTTTCGTTATGCAATCAACGATTTACTTACTGAAAAGACGCTTTTCTTTTTCGTTTTGCCGATGGATTTAGCGTGCTGTCCACAACCTGTGAATCCATCATTGTCGAGGTGCATGTTGAGCTGGATAGTGAAGCGGAAGCTGAATAAGATAGAGACGAAGAGCATGGATCTCTAGAAAAAATAAATAAATGACCCTGAACTAGACTTTGATTTTTTAAACCTATAGTCAAGTAAAAGTGTAATTGATGTAACAAGATTACCGTCACAAGGTCTTCTTAGATCGATGATTTAATTCAGAAATTAAATTTTTTTTTGAAACAAAAGCATAAATTTATACAAAATAAGTTTTAAATGATGTTTGTTTCTAGTTAAAACATTCTAGAACATGATAATTAGAACAATCAAATTTAGCTTCAACTAGTCAATTAAAAAACTAATTTTCACATTATTTGTACATCAACAAAACTATTCCAAATGATGGTAATCACTTAAAATTAATTTTCTTTAAATTAATTATTTGCTAAAGCTTTTTCGAGCAATTATCTACAATATTTGAACTTGTAACTTAACATTAATTTGGAAACAGGAAAAATCTATTTAAATAATGATGGTTAGATGAAATAATTATTAATGGCGGTCAAGGTTTTGTGTTTTTGAATTTATTGAAATAATTATTATTGAAAAGCTGAATAATTTCTGAAGATTGGAGGCAATTTCTAGTAGGTAGGTATCTGAAAAACTCTTAGTTTTTCATACTGGAGCTGAATTAAATCAGAATATTATTCACAGAACCAGAACAAAAACCTGGAATAAAACGATTAGGAACAAAATTCAAGTCCACGACTGTAAAATAAAATAAATTCAACAGTTTTCTCCAATTCCTACTCTTCATTTTCTATTTTCTTCGTTCCCATTTTAATTATTCCGCAAATCTTGTATTCTTGTGTTTATAAATTAAAACAATAAAGAACATTCAGAGTTCTGGATTTGGATTTTTCTTAATTTCTATTTTTTTCCCTTCCATTTCTCACTTTCTTCGTCTCAATTTTCCTTAGCAGATTTTGAGTTTTCTAAATAAAACCACAGAGGAAATTGAAGATACTGGAATAAGAAAATAAAGAAAATTCAAGGATCCTAGAAATGGTTTAATCAAATTAATCTGTATTTTTCCTTCGCATCATTTTTTTCCTCTCAATTTTTGCCTGATCCGGGATCACAAAATCTCTGCAATTTTTGCCTGTTTTAGGATCTCAAATTTATCATTTTTTCTGAAGTTGTAAATACAGTGGAACCCCGATTATCCGAGTCGTAATTATCCGAGCTCTGGATTAACCGAGCCAGTCTAAAGACCCAAAAATCCTGATTATTCGAGGTACCTACGCACGTCCATACTCCGTATTAACTATTAACCGAGTTTCTAGAATATACAGGGTGTTTTTTTATATATTGATACCCCACCTACAACCTTTACCTTTACAAGTAGAAGAAAGGTGTAAATACAAAAGCTGTACAGTTTTGGCTGAATTTTTAGAAACCATGGTCAGAAACAAAATTTGAATGTCAGGAATGTGAAATTTTGTATGCTTTCAGCTTGTTCAAAATGGGATGCATAGTTTTGGAATCGGGAAATTGTGCTCTTCAAGAATATAGAACCAAATATAGGGCATTCCATTTGAAAAAAGCTGAAAGCATGCAACATTTCACATTTCTGACATCCAATTTTTGTTTCTGACCATGGATTCTAAAAATTTAGCTAATTCTGTACAACTTTTGTATTTACACCTTTCATCTACTTGTAAAGGTGAAGGCTGTAGATGGGGTGTGAATATATAAAAAAAACACCCTGTACTTGAACAATAACTTATTATATAAAGTCAGAATTTGTAAAATTATCCACTTTTTGTCAATTTGCCTTTTAACAGGAATTAGTAATGTTACTTTACCAAACTAGTAATATAATGTGACAAGTTATTCAAGTACAAACGAGTGGATTGTTGCGGAACCTATGGGTGGACTTCTGCGGGACGAGCGCAGCGAGTTCCGCAGCCATCTATTCATCAATATGTTGTGTAATTACGATACTAACCTGACTCACTCAAATGTGAGTTATTCTCATTAGTTTAAAAACCACACGTTTCAGGTGAATGTCTTACTTGAACAGTTTGACAGTATATTGGTGAGTAGATGGCTGCGGAACTCGCTGCGCTCGTCCCGCAGAGGTCCACCCATAAATTCTGCAATAATCAACTTATTGGTACTTGAACAATAACTTATTATATAAAGTCAGAATTTGTAAGATTATCCACTTTTTGTCAATTTGCCTTTCAACAGGAATTAGTAATGTTACTTTACCAAACTAGTAATATAATGTGACAAGTTATTCAAGTACAAACGAGTGGATTGTTGCGGCACCAATGGGTGGACCTCTGCGGGACGAGCTCAGCGAGTTCCGCAGCCATCTATTCATCGAATGTTGTTTAATTACGATACTAACCTGACTCACTCAAATGTGAGTTATTCTCATCAATTTAAAAACTACACGTTTCAGGTGAATATCTTACTTGAACGTCTTGAACGGTTCAACAGTATATTGGTGAGTAGATGGCTGCGGAACTCGCTGCGCTCATCCCGCAGAGGTCCACCCATGAATTCTGCAATAATCCACTTATTTGTACTTAAACAATAACATTATATAAAGTCAAAATTTGTAAGATTATCCACTTTTTGTCAATTTGCCTTTCAATAGGAATTAGTAATGTTACTTAACCAAACTACATAGTAATATAATGTGACAAGTCATTCAAGTACAAATGAGTGGATTGTTGCGGAACTTATGGGTGGACCTCTGCGGGACGAGCGCAGCGAGTTCCGCAGCCATCTATTCATCAATATGTTGTGTAATTACGATACTAACCTGACTCACTCAAATGTGAGTTATTCTCATCAGTTTAAAAACTACACGTTTCAGGTGAATGTCTTACTTGAACAGTTCAACAGTATATTGGTTAGTAGATGGCTGCGGAACTCGCTGCGCTCGTCCCGCAGAGGTCCACCCATAAGTGCCGCAACAATCCACTCGTATAAACTTGAATAACTTGTAACATTGTATTACTAGTTTGGTAAAGTATCATTCCTAATTCCTATGTTGAAAGGCAAATTGACAAAAAGTGAATAATTTTACAAATTGAGCGCTCTTTTGAAACAGGTATCACTCGAACCCCTGTTCCATTTGGAATGGTAAGGGTTGGTCCCACCCCCGCTAGAGGGTTAAGTTAGTGCTGAAAATGTTTCAAACACTCACACAATCAAATTACGTATACGAACGATTTAAAAAAAAATAAAAGTGACATCAGATATTTAGCCTCTGTTTCGCTTTAAATGGTATACCCTGTATACATAGGTATATGTATTCGCATTATCCTAGTTTTCAGTTATCCGAGGTGGGTACCCCCCCACGTTACCTCGGATAACCGGGGTTCTACTGTAAGAATATAAAAAATCACTCTCCAATTTTTGTATTCTTGTGTTTATAAATGAAAATAATAGAGTAGGTACATTCAGAGTTCTGGAATAGGAAAATTATGAATTTTACAACCAATTGCCGATTTTTCTTAATTTCGGCATTTTTCCTTTCCATTTTTCACTTTCCTCGTCTCAATTTTTGTCTATTCCAGGGGTGCGATTTTCGAAACCATTAAAGTAAATTTCGTAAACGAAATTTGACTGACAGCAATGTAAATTAAATGGGGAGCAGTCAAATTTCGTGTACGAAATTTACTCGAATGGTTTCGGAAATGGCACCCCAGGCTCAGATTTCAAATTTTTCTAAATAAAACCACAGAGGAAATTGAAGATCCTGGAATAAGAAAATAAAGAAAATTCAAAGAGCCTGGAAATGATTTACCCAATTTAGTCTGAACTTTACTAGGTATTTTTCCTTCGCATCATTTTCTTCCTCTCAATCACAAATCTCTTCAATTTTTGCCTAGGTACTTCAGGATCTCAAAATACTTTTTCTGAAGTTGTAAAGAAGAATAGGTACCTACTTACTTATTAAAACAACTAATGATTCTGGAATAAGATAATAAGATAAATCCTGGGTTTTTCTAAATAAGATCATGAGAAAATTCAAAATCCTGGATTCTGGAAACTCAATAATAATTCAGGAACCTGGAATAGGAACAAAAAAGTTTTTCCCAATTTTTTCTCAAATTTGTGGACGAATGGTGGTGGCTTCTAATTGGTCTGTGATATTCGTGCGATTTATTTTATCATAACGCACGTAGGGTGTAAAATGTAAACTTTGGTAAAATCGAACTTACATGTAGAGAGGTAGGTATGCGATTTTTACTATTTAGTAGTAAGTTCTAAAAACATTTAAAAAGGTATAATTTCCTTTTAGCCAGAACTTTCTTGAAGGTTTCGTTCGAAAGGAAATCTTTAAAAAAAAATATTATCGCGTTGGCTACGAACATTTTTGTCAGGGTGGTATCAAGAAGAACTCAGTTCTAATGAAAACTACGAAATAATTTTAAAAGACATTTTGAAGAAAAGTGACGGGTGTAGTAGAGTAATAAAATTTGAGAGAAAAATCTACTAAAATTCTTACTCGATATTGGTCAATTCATAATAAGTAGGCTGATAGCTGTGGACAGGATGCTGATGCTGTAAATTTTGCTGTACCATCGTCGGTTTCAGCTCGTCCAACGAAATAAAATCGCGTTCTTCGTCGGTGGGAATTTGAAACAGTCTAGAATAAGAAATATCCTGGACTGGAAAATTTCGCGCCACCATTTCCAACATTGTTATTTGAACTTTCGATAATTTATATAATCACTAAATATTGTCAATGTTATTATTATTAAACACCTATAATCAAGTAATCACATTCACAAAACGATAATTCCTGCTGATTCAACGTACGAATTTCAAATGTGTCGGTGCGCCGCAGGATAGCGAGTTTTCAATAAAATCGTATTCGCCCGCCAACAAGCGTTAAAACATTTTACGGCGTCGCCTTGCCATTGGTCGTGAAAACGACGTCAGAGACGACGGAGTTGTTAATGGTTACCGGATTTTGACGTCGATCTCCGGAGTTTTGACAATCATTTTGGAAATCTGAGAAAAATGACGCAAGCAGGTGTTGGGTGTTGGAAACAGTGGTGGTGGTTCTTTTTTAAAGGAAGCATATCAATTTGTTTTTTAAGTTCAGAAATTGGAAAGACAAATTCAAAAGCAACTTTCTATTCAATTTTTTTTCAAATTTGTTTTTTCTGCGTAAATTTCTCTAAATAAAAATACAGAGAAAATTCGAGATCCTGAGAGAAAATAATTGTTTAACGTTTTTTACTAATTTTTTGGTAAATGTTTTCCTTCAGTTTCTTTATCTGTTCCACACTCCTTTTTTCATAGATTTCGGCTTCAAATCTGAGGATAATTTTGTGTATGGAGATTAGGAGATGTTAATTGACCATTAGGAAACAAAATCGCAACAACAAAAAATTGGAAATTTTATCGTTTTAGTAAGAAGCTACCTTATGATTTAGATTTTGGAAAACTCTGGAAGGGCATAACTTTTTTTCTATTATAGATAGAAAGCTGAAACTTTCACTGAATTTTATCCCAATCAAGGGACTACAATCCCTGAAAATTTCTTTAAATAAAAACATAGGAAAATTGCAAGATCCTGGAAAAACGATTAGTAAGAAAATTCAAAGCCAGGAATAAAAAATCAAATAAATTTAACAGTTTTTTTTCATTTTTTTCTCTGCATTCTTCATTTTCTTCGTCGAAATTTTGAATTATTCCGCGATTATGTAGAAGTCTGGAATAGAAAAAGACGGCATTTTGCAACCAACTGGTACCTACAATTTTTCTCAATTTTCTCTTTAATCATTTTTCACTTTCTTCGTTTCAGTTTTTGTCTGTTCCAGACTCTTACAAACTCAGTTTTATAATAATTTGATTAATATCCCTGGGTTCTTATTTGGCCTAAGTATTTCCTGGACAAGTACCTATAGATATGTGAATGGTATATGTATAAACTGGTTCTCCTATCTTCTGTTTCTCCCTCAATCTTCCCATTCCATCATTACGGCTCTTTTTTTAGGGGTTTCTTCCATTCCACCTAATGTGCTTCATTTGCCGCTTGGTAAATACTTGTTTCAATAGTTTCATATTCTTCACCTGTGTTTTTACATGGCGATCCGTTAAATCATCTTTGGTACAAGATCTTTATGATAGACACACTGATGATTTCTTCAAAGAAGCTGCATTTGCATCATCATTTCTCAGACAGCACATCAGACATCTCTAAGTCCCTAAGTTGTCCACAAACGACATTTAAAACGTCTTTTAGACGTCTGCTCACGTGTTCAGGACGTCTAAAAGACGTCGTATAAATTAAAAAACCAAAGAGCTTAATGATGAAAATTCGTCGATGTCGACTAAATTTCAACTTTGAAGTCTAATATCTCGGAAATTTCACAAGTTACAAAAACCAATTTTGCAGGGCTTATAGAGAATTTAGTACTCATTCCAATGATATATAATTGTAACCAAGCTTTCCAAATTTTATTGAAGATATCAGCAATAATTATTCATGAGCATGTCAAGATTTCAAAAAATTTATAGAGCCAAAAATAAATAGAAGATAGAAATTTCCAAATTTAACTAATGTGAGAGTTTTTTCTAACTAATTTGGACTCGCTCTGAGAGAAATTCAAAAATAATTTTTTTTTAGTTTTTGGTGCTTTTTCCTAAGGGTACCCCTTTTGAATTCTAATTTGCAAAACTTCAAATCTTAATATTTCGGTAACCAAAAGCGGTACCGGGACAAAAATTGTAGCTGTCAATAAAAGCTTCAAAATGGTGGTTCGCTGAAATCGCTAGAATTTACGGTTTTTGAGAAAATCGAGTTAAAAGTTTTGGGCAAAATGTCAACCAAATTTCAACTTTGAAGCTCAATATCCCGGAAACTTCATAAGTTACAAAAACCAATTTTGCAGTGCTTATAGAGAATTTATTGCTCTTTTTAATGATGTATAATTGTAGGCAATTTTCTTAAATATGATAAAAGATATGAGCAATTATTCATGAGCATGTCAAGATTCCAATATATGTCCAGAGCCAAAAATTAGATTTCCTTTTTGGATTTTTTTTCTCATCGAGATTTTCAAATGTCACTGATGTTAGAGTTGTTTCTGACTAATTTGGACTAGCTCTATCGATTTGAGACGTCGAAAAAAAACAACTTAAGACGGCAAAAAGGCCAACTTAAAATGTCGATAAGACTTCCGAAATTGGAGAATAATTCAGAATTCAGGGTTTATACTTTAAATGATATTATACCAAAATATGTTCGTTGATATTAGGTACCTACTGATAACAGATAACAACACTAAATTGTCAATATTTGAAACACAACAACTATTAACAAACTATTGAGAAACTGATACGACATAATAAGGAAAGAACGTCAGTAAGACGTCGCTAAGACTGTCGTCAGCTGAACGTCCAAAACATGTCTTCAGTACGATGTTCTATTTTGGACAAAAGTCGTATGAGACCAAAGTAGTCCAAAATTGAACGTCTTTTTGACGATACACTGGTCATTGTGGTAAGCTGGGGTTTCTCCAAACAGTGAAAATCCAAAAGATACTTAAGTTAATTTTCCTTAAATATCTACTTTCTAATTCTCAAATTTCTCTGTCTAAATGTTTGTCTATTCCCGGCTCTTGAATTGTTTTCTTCAGAATAACTTCCTCCAGAGAAAATTCAAAACCCTAAAATAGCGTTCTCATGAGAACGATTGCTCTGTCATTGTCAGTGTTATGGAAATATGAAAACGGACGACGAAGACAGAAACCAGAACCTTCGTTCTTATGAAAACGGTGCTCTCCGGTTTCGAGAATAAAGTCCCTGTTGCCTTCCTGGCTTTCAGGCCTCTGGATTCCCTATAGGGATTGACCTTATCCCTGGTTTACGCAGTTTGTCGGCGGATTGATCATTCTTATCCTTATCTGGAAGTTCATTTAGGCAATCTTTCCGCTCTAAACTATCTGCGAAAGCTTAAGCTTTTACTTTATATCAGAGAATACCTAGGCAAACCCATTAAATCTGTGAAATAGTCGAATGATGGTCTTCTTCTCACAGATACTTCTGCTTTTTTGAATTTTTCCTTAAAATTCTTCTTTAAACTCCTGAATTTTTCAGTCTCAATTTTTGTATATTCCCGGCTCTTGAATTGTTCCTTCTAAATATCTCTACATAAAGAGAATTCAAGAGCCTGGAATAGAAACAACATACTCAAGTCTACTTATTTACTCGATTTTCCCTAAATTTCTGCTTTTCAATTCTCAAAATTTCCTGTTTAAATTTTTGTCCACTGCCGGCTCTTGAATTGTTTATTTCTAAATATCTCTACATAAAAAAAATTCAAGAGCCTGGAATAGAAACAACATGTAGGTACTAAAATCTACTTATCTACTCCATTTTCCCTTAATGCCTGCCTTTCAATTCTCAAATTTTTGTCTATTGCCGGCTCTTCAAGAGCCTCTTAATACATTTAAGAGCCGGTTTATTCATTTCCTAATAAACTGTCAGGTAATGCAATGTAATCCCATTAGTCAACCAATTATTCAGTGACTAACAGGATTATAGATCTGTAAATTTATCTTGCAGATAGTTACCAGCAATTAAGTTTATCTCAAGATGAATAAACCGGGCCTAAGACAGAGAACATTGGATGTTAGCGAATACAATTTTAATACAAAAACATATCTGCGAAAAAGTCGTCTAATCCAAATCTATTCAAACAATTAAATTGCTGGAGGATGTTTTCCAGCAGGTCTTTTTTCGTATTCCAACAAACATCCCAAGCAGCAAAGGTTAGTCGTGATGACGTCGATTTCAAATAGATTTACGCCAAAATTCGACGTCGGAAAGAGGTTGCAAAATATGACTTGTTTGGAACGTCACGGAGTGGAAGTTTATTTGACCATGACATGAATCAACAGGTTCAAAAGTTATCATGTAAAACCCAATATGACCCATTCAGAAAAAATACCCTGTATTAATAGGACATCTATGCTATGAAACGTCCATTTGACGTCGTTGAATTGGTCGCAGTGTGGATCGATTGAAAAGTTATACATATATCTACATAGTAATACCAGTACATAGTATCTGATGCATAATAAGTATATAGTGGGTACCTACATAAGAAAATGATAATTATTGTTTTGCACTAAGTAGTTTTCGTAATTTTTGCCACTAGAATAATGATCATTCTCAAAATGTCTTTCATCACATTTTCGAAACAATCTGAAATTGGTGTTTTGTGCATTTCAGCAAGTAAAGATTGAAGGATTTATCTCAACATTTTATACCTAAACTTTTTTTGTCCAAAATCGGCCATATTTTCACGTGTTAAAATTTTTGTAGTCAAACCTGATACACCCTGTATAGAAAGAATAGAAAAAAATCGTCGGGCATATTTGACTGACGTGGCCCCCTCCATGTCCAAGTCGATGAAAATAACCTGGGGGGCCACGTCAGTCATATATGACTGCCATAGAAAAAATGGTGGGGAAAGCTAAAACAAAAAAAAAATACTATAAACAATATTATAATCTTTCATTTGAGCCACTTTTTAATAAAAATTAAGAGAAAATCACGCGTGGCCTCATATTTCCCCAATATACCTACACGTACCATGCCATACAAGGCATCGTATGTTACGAAACAACGTCTTTCAAACTTCTGCCTGAAGACGTCTTTAGGACTAAGATATTTTCAACGAGATCTCTTTGAGACGTCTTTGAATCTCTTTTTAATATTATTCACTTTTAGGCCGGGTTGTACCAAATAGTGTGTGGCTCAGTTATCTTTGAGGCATGAATTTACGACATCTTATGGACATTTTCAACAAC